TGGGTGGGTGGGTGGGGGATGGGAGGAAGGGTGGGGGTTGGGGATGGGTGGTGGATTGGGGAAGAAGGTAGTGTGGGGAAGGGTGGTAGGTGAGGGGAAGGGTAGGTGGGGGAAGAGGGAAGGGGGAAGGGTGGTAAAGGGAAGAGGTAAGGGGGATAGTGGAAGGGTGGCGGTGAGGGAAGAAGGAAGAGGGTAGAGGGAAAGGGGAAGGGTGGCAGCTAAGGGGAAGGGGGAAGAGGGTGGGGAAGGGGGAAGGTGGCAGATAAAGGAAGAGGGTAGAGGGAAAGGGGGAGGGTGGCAGGTAAGGGTAGAGGGTAGGGGAAAGGAGGGAAGGGAAAGCCTGAGTGAAGAAGGTAGGGGGAAAATGGGATATGAGCCAATGGAAGAGGATACGGCACCCTCTCTCTAAGGGAAAGAGGGGAGGGGGAAAAGGGAAGGGTAATTCATGAGAATATATCTAGTGGGTAGGCTTATGGGCGGAAGAAGTAGGGGTTATAAGGGCATCGAAGGGAGAGATAAGGGTTTATGAAGACGTGCAGCGGGAGAATAGGAGGATAGGGGAGCGTGTGGAAGGAGGAGGGCACGGGATCGAGGCTCTCACTTTCGGCTTAGAAGATTTTGGTTCTTGAAGACGCTGAAAAGTGTGTGGAAGGAGACGGCTTCTTTGGGAAGGCTTAGGGCTTGAAGATGTGTCTTGTGGAAGGATTGGGGGGGGGGAGGAGCGAAGCGTTTAAGGAAGGGAGGAGGTCGGGGAGATGGACGGTGTCTCTGCTGGGAGTTTCGAGGTGGGAAGGGAGCGCTGGATGGGGTGGGGAAGGGTGTCAAGAAGTGGGGGGGGGGGGGGAGGGAGGGAGGAGAGAGAGAGAGAGAGAGAGAGAGAGAGAGAGAGAGAGAGAGAGAGAGAGAGAGAGAGAGAGAGAGAGAGAGAGAGAGAGAGAGAGAGAGAGAGAGGGAGAGGGTGGAGCTGATAGGATGGGTAGGTGTCAAGGAATGACGGTGAGGACTCGGGGAAGGAGGGAGCGAGAAAGGGAGAGAGCGAGAAAGGAAGAGAACTGAAGGAGAGGCAAGGAGAGTAGGGAGGGAGGAGGGGGAGTGACGAGAGGGCGAGCTTATAGACGCGTCGCCCGCCCTTGCTGAAGGACTGCAGTAATTAAAGTTGTCATTTTTCGCACTCCTGAAGGCACTTGTCTGGGACGGCGAATCGTTGAGTTTGAGGAGAGATTTAACGACGCAGAAGGTGTGTCTGTGCGTGTTTAGAAAGCAGCGGTTGACGTCGAATCAGGTACAGAATTACGTGCACCTGATGATTAGAGACAAGTTAAAGTCGTTGTTATTTTCTGATAAGAGGAGACTGCGCTGCTTTTGCAAATTTTGTATGGTTTTGTGATTGGTGGGACTCCAGAATTATCGAAGGCTATGGTCATTAAGTTCTTTCCGGAAAATATACGATCTGACGTTGTTTTAAAGGCAAAGTTCTTTTCTTCTCATTTTCTTTTTTTAAGCGATATCGGTTAACTAGTTACGGAAGTTACCTGCTTGTAAGTGAAAAACAAAACAAAAACGTTTTTTTTTCTTGTCACAGTAGCGATTCTCGGAAACTCATGTGTGAGGAAGCAACGGTTTTATAAAGATATCACGTGTAGTTAGGAACTCTAATCATATACTTGGTGGATATCGCAATCATCATTTTCCTTCCCTCTGTTTTCCCTCTTTTTTCCTTCTCTCTCTCTCTCTCTCTCTCTCTCTCTCTCTCTTCTCTCTCTCTCTCTCTCTCTCTCTCTCTCTCTCTCTCTCTTCTCCTCTCTCTCTCTCTCTCTCTCTCTCTCTCTCTCTCTCTCTCTCTCTCTCTCTCGCTCTCTCTCTCTCTCTCTCTCTCTCTCTCTCTCTCTCTCTCTCTCTCTCTCTCTTCTCTTTTCTCTCTCTTTCCTCTCTTTCTCTCTTCCCCTCTCCCTCTCCCTCTCCCTCTCCCTCTCTCCTCTACCTCCCCTCCTCCCTCTCTCCTCTCTCTACCTCTCTCCCTCTCCCTCTCCCTCTCCCTCTCCCTCTCCCTCTCTCCTCTCCCTCTCCTCTCTCCCTCTTTCGCAACCTTTCTGAGAAATTAACCCTCATTCACGGAAGTATGAAACGCACAAAAAGATCAAAATTGTCTGACGCATGAGCATTTTCTGACGTACGTGCAAATTACACTTTGAATATTGCTCAAAGGGTAGAGGGAAGGGGAGAGAGAGAGAGAGAGAAAAGGGGAGAGAGAGAGAGAGAGAAAGTATGAGAGAGAGAGAGAAAAAAAAAAGAGAGAGAGAGAGAGAGAGAGAGAGAGAGAGAGAGAGCGAGAGAGAGAGAGGAGAGAGAGAGAGAGAGAGAGGGAGAAGAGAGAAAGGGAGAGAGAGAGAGAGAGAGAGAAAAGAGAGAGAGAGAGAGAGAGAAAGAGAGAGAAGAAGAGAGAGGAGAGAGAGAGAGAGGGAGAGAGAGAGAGAGAGAAAAGGAGAGAGAGAGAGAGAGAGAGAGAGAGAGAAGGTAGAAAGAGAGAGAGAGAAAGAGAGAGAGAGAGAGAGAAGAGAGAGAGAGAGAGAGAGAGAGAGAGAGAGAGAGAGAGAGAGAGAGAGAGAGAGAGAGAGAGAGAGAGAAGAGAGAGAAAGAGCACAGTAGTAGAAATTTAGACAGCGAGAGACAAAGACTAGAGAGAGAGACCAGCAACTTCCCCTCTCACACACACACGCCAACAGGAGCAAAAGCAAAAAACAAAAAGCAAAAAAAGAAAAGAGAGAGAGAGAGAGAGAGAGAGAGAGAGAGAGAGAGAGAAGAGAGAGAGAGAGAGAGAGAGAGAGAGAGAGAGAGAGAGAGAGAGAGAGAGAGAGGAGACACCAAAAAACGAGACGAGAAGAAGACAGCGCCCGAGAGTGAAAACGTAATCCAAAATGATCAGTCTGCAGGCTAGCGATTTGCGACTTAATGCCAGCTGTCTCTCCCCTCAACGCAACAGCTCGCAGCGGGTAATCAGCTGTTTTGTCCGCGGCGGAACTGGGGGGGGAATGGGGAAGAGAGGGAGGGAGGGGGATGGGAAGAAGGGAGGAGAGGGGGAGGGGGGGAGAGGAGGTGGGAGGAGGGAGGGAGGGAGGGAGGGGGGAGGGGAGAAGGAGAGGGAAGGAGGGAGGGGAAGGGGAGAAGGAGAGGGAGGTGGGGAGGGAGAGAGAGGGGGAATGAGAGAGGTGGGGGAGAGGGACAGACAGGACAGATGGTGGTGGGTGGTGTATGAGGAAGAGGAAGATGATGATGAGAAGAGAAGAAGAAGAAAAAAGAAAAAAGGAGAGATGAAAATGATGATGATGATGATGATGATTGAGGAGGAGGAAGGAGGAAGAAGAAGAAGAAGAATGGAAAGGATGAAAATGATGATGATGAGGAAGAGAAGAAGAAGGAGGGAGATGAAAAATGATGATGATGAGAGGGAAGGAAGAAGAAGAAGAAAAGAAAGGATAGGATGAAAATGATGATGATAATGATAATGATGATGAGGAGGAAGAAGAAGAAGGGAGAGGATGAAAATGAAGATGATGAAGATAGGAAGAGAAAGAATGATGGACGATTGGTGATGATGATGATAAAGAGGAAGAAGAAGAAAGAAGAAGAAAAAAGGAGAGAGGATGAAGATGATGATGGTGATGCTGATGCTGATGAAGAGGAGAAGAAGAAGAAGAAGAAGAAGAAGGGAGAGGATGAAAATGATGATGATGGTGATGATGATGAAGAGGAAGAAAAAGAAGAAGAAGAAGGGAGAGGAGGAAGAACAAAATGATGATGATAATGATGATGCACATAGCCGACGCGTACCCGGCGTGAGGGGGGTTTCAATTTATTCGATTGGTCGTGTTTCCGTTCCTCTCGACGGGCG